CGAAAATTACATCAGGAAATCTAATGTAAATTATGGAGTGAGACTCCTACTTCCATTATTCATGAGAAAAAATACTTATTCCTCCTGCCTATATATACACTATTCATGTATAATCATAAAAAGTCTCTGCAATACTATACTTAGTTTACATCCTTAACAAGTCATTAATCATAGCATAGTAGTATATCAAAGAAATTAGGACATAACCAATCTTCAGGGAGTTAAGTTTGTTGTCCTTGTTTTGACATGTCTCTTACTTTGTTAGGATATTACCTTGAGTGGCTGGTAGAGCACTAGGTTTAGTAACATTTGGCTCATCTTATGAATTAATGTATCACAACTCAGAAAATATGCATAACAATTTTTTTTAAAGGTTGGCATTTCCACAGAAAATTCAAATCGAATTTAAGCCTGCTTTTACTCCTTAAATTTTATGATAAACTTTATACTATTCCTGTAACTGCCCTGAATATTGAAGAGTATAGGATTACAATTATTTATTCCTATAGGTGAATACTGAATATTGCAAACTATTGGAAGGATATTCCTTGTGATGGATAATACACTGCATGCTGTCTTCTTCAGAACTGTCCAAAATTTGAAAGTTGCACACCCTACATATATATGAAAATATCTTGTGCAGGAAAATATTTCTTTAATTATCATTTTGGTGATGAAGTGACCATACTCTACATAATTACAAGCAAGGTCATGACTGTAAAGTTGTAGCTAGTGCAACATTATCTCTGATTATCTAAATCTGACAAATAGAGACCATCTTACACATGGTATATATATAACATCAAATATCATACTGATAAAAGTATATTCACTTGTGTAAAATTAATAAACAACAATAACACAAAGCCAAAGCAGCATATTGCTATTTAAGGTCTTCAATAATCTTCAATTTTATGTCTCAGAAGGAAAGTGAATTTTTTTTTATGTATGCCAAAGGGGGTAATTTTCAGTTAATAAGTAAGCTTTATTTAGATCCTGTGTACTTAGAAAACACATTTAAAGTACCAAGGTAGATGCAACAACTTGCAAGACACAAATGATCTGCATAACTAACTTTGCCTGTACTGCTTTTAAAGTCTCCAACGAGATAAAATCTAAGCAAGGTATAGTAGAACAAACTGTATAGTCCTGTATAGTGAACGATAAAAGTCATAGAGGTATCAGCTTTTTACATGTAGTGAAACAAGAGAACAAAGAACCATAAAAGATCACCATACGGACAAAGTGATAATGTAAGTGTAAGTTACTGAATTGTAACTTATTCAATACTGAGAATATACACAAATTTGTATATTTAGATTCCTACGCATGTGTGTTTGGCAGACATTTGTTATCTCAATCACATATACACCTTCACATCTTATAAGAAACTGCATCCAAATCCTGTTTATTCATGTGTGCAGATATGTCTGTATGTATGTGTGGGTTATGTGAGTATTTCTGTACATGCACATGATGGTAAGTGTGTGTGTGTGTGTGTAGGATGTTGTGTGTGTGCTGTGTGTGTGTGTGTGTGTGTGTGTGTGTGTGTGTGTGTGTGTGTGTGTGTGTGTGTGTGTGTGTGTGTGTGTGTGTGTCGCGGCATGTGTGCGTGTGCATGTGCATGTGTGTGCATGTGCATGTGTGTGCATGTGCATGTGTGTGTGTGTGTGTGTGTGTGTGTGTGTGTGTGTGTGTGTGAGTGTGTGTGTTGAATGTGTGGTGTGTGTGTGTATGTGTGTGGTGTGTGTGTGTATGTGTTGTGTGTGTGTGTGAGTGTGAAAAGAGAGAAGAGAGGAGAGCGAGAGAGAGGAGAGAGAGAGAGAGAGAGAGAGAGAGAGAGAGAGAGAGAGAGAGAGAGAGAGAGAGAAGAGAGAGAGAGAGAGAGAGAGAGAGAGAGAAGAGAGAGAGAGAGAGAGGGAGAGAAGAGAGAGAGAGAGACCAAATGTCCATTAGTTATCCCTATACAAATCAACTTTCAATAACAACAAATGAAAAGAGGAAAAGAATATTGGTTATACAGACTTTCATTAACTAAAGCTAATAGTAGCAAATGTGAACAAACACTGGCATCCAAGAAAATCTCTACTTGAAATGAAAAAAAACTTTTACATCATTAGGCATACACAGCATATATGTGTTTAAAATAATCTATTTTATGTATCTTAAAATATCTGCCTTTGTATGTACACGAAATATCTAGTCTATCTGTACTATACAAGCACATTAGACAATTCATCCACTGTACATTTATTTTACTTTAAAAGTAAGTGATAATATAAAGCTCAAGACTTTGTGAATTACCATAGTAAAAGAACATATAACATTCAAGTAAATGGAATGTCTGACTGTTCTGAATCCTTTCTGAAGGAAAATTTGGCTAGAAAATTATTTCTTTGTAAGTAAATATCTTTTTAAGTACATGAACTGCATCATAATATCCATGACATAATAACTAAAGAGAAAAAAATGAAAGAAAAAGCATAAAATTTAGTGGATTTTCTTTACTCCTACATCCATCAAATCACTGAAAGCTGACTTATTGGAGAGAGAACTGTGGTTTACAAACACCTTTTTGGAATGATCAACTATTTTAAATGCATGTAAAAAACCTTCAATGGCTTTTGAGTCATAAAATCACTTTAGAAAAGTGAAGACATAACACAAAAATGGTATTTCTTGTGATATAAAAGTAAGCGCACATGCACATTCATATATGAAATTCCATCTTTTTCCATCTGTTATGCATGAAAATATGATACAATCTCTCTTGATGTTACTCCTTCCAAAGCACATAGAATATAATAATACTGCACAGTCTTTATTATGGAATTTTCTCATCACTGTAAAATTGGTATCAAGTTTGTGGCACCTTTGTTGATGTTGCAAAGGAAGAAAAGAAAAGAAGAAAAGTGGGAAAAAATTAATAAAAACGAATGGAAAGCAAAGTCTCACCTTAAACATAATTCAGAAATCAAGTTTCTAATAAATGCATGTAAAAATGGACCTTTTACCTCTTTGAAATTCCACAGGGAATTACATGGGCTTTGAGTGCAAGGAATATTATGATTCATCTTAAATAATATAACTTATTTCAAATACGTGTGAGTGTACAATATATGCAGTGTGAGTGTGAGTGTGAAACGTCCATTTCATTATCTCCATACACAGTTCCACTTCAAAAACAACAAAGAAAAAGACAAACAGATACATTTTGTTATTTCAGCTCCTTGTTAATGTTTACAAAGAAAAGAAAAGAAAATGCCACCAATTCTTACAATAGGAGGATCGAAGAAGAAAAAAACAATTTATAACACATCAAATAAACACTCACATATATATATATAAGCTTCCATTTTAAATTGTAATCAATTGTAATATGCTTGCCTTCTTTAAATGAGAAGGCACTGTTCATGGCTAAAGTCTGTCTAGTTTCTGTAATATCACTTTCTCTAGATTCACCTGTGACCATTAGCATTTCCACATGAACAATTATAAACAAATGTGCAACACACACACACACACACACACACACACACACACACACACACACACACACACACACACACACACACACACACACATCAATGCATTAGTGTCAAAATAAGAGCAAGTGCTTTTATGTAAATCTGTCAGCAATAACATTTAAAAAGGAAACTTACATGAAAAAGGAAATCATGCACACGTGTGTTTGCATACTTGAAAACTCACACACTCGATTGAGAGCAATATATTAATTATCAAAATAATAAATATATAAATTAATGCACTCAGATAAGTATACAAGACCTTCCAGACATTTCATTATAGGCACCTTATGGAAGAGGAAACATAACCACAATTCCGTTGAAGTATATAACATGAATAAGTCCCTATCCTCAAATAAATTCCATATCATTTTTCTTTTGTGAGATGGTATACATTCATACCCATGGCACTTTGTGATACTTGAGAAAAATGTGCTTTACGATGTCATCAAAAAGCAGTCATAAATAAATGCCTTGCAAGCAAATTTATGCCCTCAAAGGTGGGCTGTGACGACATTATATGCTCATAAAAGATCATGATATCCCAGCTCTTCTAATTTCTTCCGCTGGATTTCCTTAACCTCCTCTTCAGTAAAGGGATTTATCGAAAAATAGGTGTAGCAGGCTACTGTTGTGATGATGATTATTACAAGCATCACATTCAGCAGGTTTTTCTCCCATGGTTCCTGATGAAGGGTTGTTAGCTGAGCAATGTGCTCATTCATTGCCATAGCTTGTTCCTGAATAAAGAATAAAAGAAAACAATAATATAAACTCATGAAATTTGTATAAATCTGGGAATATTTCACTTTTGCAGTATATTCCACTCTTACAGTATTCACATGAAGATTTCTTGAATTCCTATGAAGTCTTGCAAATGTATAAAATTTCTTCTTTTGTGTGTGTGACTTTTAGTCCTCTTGTATCAATAATCTACACAAGATAAACACTGACTTCTTACCTGTGCCTTTTCAGAGTCATCAAAACCAAAAATACAGTTATATAATCGTTGGTACCAAGGTGTATCACGGTGAGGAATATGTTCAGCTTCATCTGTGTAATAAAAGAATGGAAGAAATTTGAACATCAGTATTAAAGTTAAATGAGCATCAACTACTACATAATATTTCTGTGTATTAAGAGAGGGTCATTTTATCTACACTTTTCCTTTACTCATCATTTTGCATTTTACACTGAAACCAAACCCTTACCTTGGTCTTGCTGTCCAACCTCCATAAGTTCATTCTGTTTCCACTCCCGCATCTCCTGGTCATCTTGCCGCTCTCGGCGATCATAGCGTGTGAAATATGTGGTCCGAATAAGCTATGTATCCAATGAACAATTTTTTGTTAGTTTTCCAATAAAGTATAATTCATTTCACTCTTCTTACTTTCATATATAGATCACTTTTTTATACTTATTAGGCAATATCAATGAAAGCAGGAATAAATCTTATTAATCTTATGACAACTACAAATTAATAATACTGACCCTCCATTTTTCAGGTGCCTTTGTCAAAAGACTCACTGTAACTGCTACAAAAACAGTTAGCCAAAACAGTATTGTTGCAAAGTACATGTAGTGCACCTGGAATGTGAGAAAGTGGTTATGTAGTTATTACCTACATCAAAATTACATTGGATATTACATGAAATGTATCAGATCATCTAGTAGCAGAGAGGAAACCAGAAGAGATATATAGTAAAATATTAACCTGTCCCATGTATCTTTCACTACACAAGAGCTAATTTCATAGATCAAATACAATATAGGGAGAGATCTGATATAAGTCTTTATCTGCTAAAGACACTGAGGAGTATACTTTACCGTGGGTTTTGAGATTTGCTTATATGTACATTTGATTTCCATTAAGAAAATAAACATGCTGTCATATCATAAAATACAAGAATAAACAGAAACTGTATTGTATATAATGATAATTGTTTTTATCCATGCACAACATATCCAAAAAACAGTTTGTGTATGTGTGTGTGGAAGGGGGAACCCAATGCCTCTGGGAGAATTTGGGGTTCGCTGGGCTTCTACTCTAGGGAGCATGTGTGGCTGACTGGGCTTGCCTCTGGGGCCTTTTTCAGATGTAACTAGTTCATTGCACTCACCAACCCATACCAACAAAGTGATATTTTTCATAACACTTGTATTAACCCATTACCGCCAGTATATTTTAAAGCCAAAAATAAAAGTTTCTGGGCGGCTACAAAATCGGCGCGTGGGGCTGGCCCGGACTCTGCCCGTGCGCCGGCTGTGCCTTGTTGCTGAGTCGGAGGGCGAGCCCTGATACAGCATCACACTGGCTGGACGTCTGGCAATTTTTTTTTTTTTTTTTTTGTGTCTCATATGTGGGACACCCGTCATAAGTGGATTAATGATTTTGCATATTCAGAGATCCATGATACTAATTTTAGTTTCAAGATGAACCTACAGTAGCCTGATTATGTACTTTAGAGTCTATTTTAATAAATAAGGTGTGTTGCACTCTGTACAAAATCAAATGTGGTTTTTATTTTCTTAATTTTTAGCAAAAACCTATTTTTACAAAATAAGAGATTGTATGCAATTATATACAATGCTGGTACTCTCATGGCTTCAGTGATTCCAGTTTGTGTGTCATACTTTAAGATAGTCACACTTTCAGAGCACCAAAAGATAATGTGAGTAGTTGACGCGAGGAGACCGAACAAGTAAATTAGTATGAAGGTTACTTACAGGTTCACATCAGCAGCAAGAGAGCACAATGTTTTGGTGTGTGACATTGCCTTGTATACCAGACAATAGCCACTAATAGCATTACACATCCTGTTCTCCCTCAGACAAAGCCTCAATGTGGCATGAGAGCACCTTATAAAGAACCACATTATATGCATTACATGCATCATCGTAATGTGACATGAATGAACTATTGCCAGGAGCCGTGCCCAAGTCAGCCACAACATGAATGACCCATCACCTTGAGTCACAAAACCAAGTCAGCCATGACATGAACTCCACATCATCAGGAGGCTAAGGGTTAAGCTCAAAAAACAAAATATGACAACCCAAACTCAAAAACACACAATATGATGGGACAAATACAGACAATGGTTAAGTCAGTTAACTTAAACTATTGATATTGAGTATATGTATTCAATAAATAAATGATAAATCCTTTTATATAAACTGAGAGACAGAAACATCATTAAAGAGAGAGCACCTTCATGTAATATTTGCATTTTGTACATTTACCACTTATAACCCAATAATGCCGGGTAAAAAATTTGGCAGGTGACATTTTTGGCACATATCGACAGTTTCCCCTGTTTAAACCTGGCTTGTTTGGTAGTCTGTGGGCAACATTAGGCATATAAAAGCTTCTATTTTGATACGATATTATATAATATAAAATTTTTGAAGGTTTACTTTCACTTTAGGTGCTATTGCGTAAAAGTTTTACCACAGAAATGATGCTGCTACTGTTGGAGAAAACAAACTCAATCCAATGAGCCAATGGTGTGGGAATGGTTGTGATATGATGCCCCCTGCTACTTTGTCTACAACAGCCATGTCATGTACTTATATGCCACCTGGTGGCAAGTGGTTAACTGAGAGGTGAAGGTCAGGTAATATGAAAAGTTGAAAATATTGTGAAAAACAACAACAGCTTAGAAAGCAAAAGGGGTCTTGTTGTTAGTCGATGTGACACAGAGGATAAGAGGGATATGTATACCATAATAATTTGGATGCAGACCTACTGCATCAAGAGACCTTGTAAGAGCACACAGAATGAGGTAAGTACTGCATGTAACTAATCCATGAACTTCTGCACAGAAAACCCAAAACCTAATAAGACTAGTGATGATCAATGTTTACTGGATATCAAACTGGTAACAACTATATATTTGAAGGTCATGAAGATTGAGTTAAAAATTGGAAGGATAAAATAAGAGCAAGTAGTACTGTACATCTTGCCACAAATATTTTGCAGGTTACAATCCTCTTTACTGTTTCTAATAACCAGTAAGTAATGAACTTTTTGTGTCAAACTAGTGGTAGTATCATCATTAAATAAGTTGAAGGATGTGCATGGTTTACAACTGATATACATTAAAAAAAAATCCAAGCAAGGAAAAATGCAACGTAAGGGGTCACCAGAATTAATGTGTTCCACTGAGATAATTTCTGAGATAAAAAAACTATCTGACTAGTGTCGCAAAGAAAATGATTTACAAGAAATCAGCCTCAGTGCGGAAATAGGTCCTTGAAGTGAAAATAAGAGCACAATAAAGGAAAAAAGCACACAAGTCAACAAGTACTCCTGAGACAGGGAAAAAGGAGCTGCAAGGGATCTTAGCATAATCACTATAAAGAAGGCCCCAAAGTGGAGAGACTTAGGAAGTCTCTCTGTGGGGAAGTAGGTAATGAAATCATCCTGAAAGATAATTTCTACTAACAGTAGAATAGGATGACTACTTGTTGGTGAGCAGTATTGGCTAGGATGATCACTAACCAATGGATGGATAAAGGAAGGACAGGACTGAACTGATTCACTGATATTTTCTAATAACCATTGTGAAATACATGTCACTGATATCTACTGTATACATAAAGACTGCATGACAGAAATTAATTTTCTTTTCCATGGCCATAACAGTAACTATAATAATAAATGAATAAATGGGAAAAATGAAACACAAGCAACAGTTGATCTGCTGGATTTCAAACTAATTACTTCTATGCCACACTGAGGAAGATGGCACTATGCATGTCAGCAATGCTAGAATGCAGCAATTTAGCCTGGACTGTGAACCTTCACACTCTTTGAAGAGAGCATCCTTTCTAGTTATCAAATTTAAGTATATATAGAATAGGAGCTTCATATATACAAAGAAATACCATATACATATTTACAGTACCATTTCAATATTAAAAAAATAAGTGATTGATATACATTATCCGTGTTGGTATCATGACTGCAGACTGGTTTCAACACTGCACAAAGAACTAGTTTTTTGGATACTGTGCATGTATGTTGCACCATATTGAGACATGGAGCCTGTGGTAGAAAATGTTAGTTGTAATTTGATAGTAAGTGAATGTGTTGTAGCTTACGTTTCCAGAAACCAATGGCAAGTGCATATTCCTGGTCTTATTTCTGGGTCTTAGCTTCCTATATTTAGGTTTTCATGCTGTTTGATAAATATTAGGCCCTTTAATGGTACCTGACTAAGGGAGATATTTTTTGAGGACAATAATTTCCTTTTGTTTCTCTACAGGTTCTCTACTGTAAGTCCAAAGGGGACACAACAATTTATGTCAGAAATGCTGGCATTTTTGCCATCCAGCTAAACACTGTCACTCCACAGCCTGCTGCCCTCTACGTACCAAATCTAGTCATGACCGTTTAAATTGCTCTGCTCAGTCACGTACATGTGCCAACTGTGGTAACTCCCATAATGCATTTAATAGGAGTTACCCTGCCTATAAGCTTGAATGTGAGGTAGCAGTTCTCAAGTCAAACTAGGCCTCACACTATGTGAGGCCAGACAGGAAGCATGACAACAAGGTTTTTCTCTCTCAACTTATTTCAAAACAGTCCTCCGCTCTGCTCTCCCCCCCATCTTCACAAGATGTTTCTGCATCTCCCACAGTACCTCTTCCCAATATCCTGAACCATCCTACTCCCCCTATCCCCTAGTCAAATTCCTTTTCCTGTCTTAATCCAGATACCCCATTATCTACCACTTCCCTGATACCCTCTTCCTCACTTATTGCACCAGAAAACCTAAACATTCTACTCAACCATCTCCTACCACATCCTCACCTACACCTTCCTCTTCCTCTGCTCCTCAGATATCTATAACCTCTTCTCTTCACAAGAGAACCTTTGTTTGTCAGGCCTCTTCACCCAACTCCCCTCCAGAGACTCTTGAAGACTTACAAAATCTCCTAAAGATGACCCAAGAGACCACTGCTCCCTCATCCACCCTCCAATCCCTTTATTCCTACTCCTACATTTAAAGTATTTGCCAATATCCATCCTCCTTCTCCTCCTCAAGTTCCCCACTCCCCCCTTTCTCCTACATCCCCCAATGTATCCCATCCACTCTACTGCCCCCACCTGAATGCTCATACAAATCCCTTCTGTCACAGCAATGTCCTTCTTCAGAAGCCCTCCCCTCCTGACATTCTCCCTGATACTTCACCAACTTCCCAGTCTTCTTTCCTCATCCCCTGGATTCTTCTTCTACTTCTCTAACAACCACCTCTATTTTCCCTGAAAAATTCCTCTACTCCTTCCCCAATCACAGATACACAGCAATTCACTCAATAGCTGTACCTCTTTAACTCTTGCTATTTTACCAATCTCTGCTCTATTTCATTTCCTCCCCTCTTTTCCCTTTACACTACCATACTATCTTGTAATGCTCTCTAATCTTTGACATCTAACCCTCTGCCACCACGAGTCTTCTCCTCCTACTTCTCCAATAGCCATCTCTATTTTCCGTGAACATTATTCCTATTCATGCCAATCACAGATACACTGCAATTCATTCAATTGCCCTACCTCCTTAACCCTTCCCTTGCTACTAATCACTGTTCTACTTCACTTTCTCCCCTCTATTCCCTTTTCATTACCATACTATCCTATAATAATCTCTAATACTATGCTTTCTTCCTATGTTTTTTTTATTTCACATATAGAGACCAATATCCCAAGTGAATGCTTTTACTAACCTTGAACTGTAGCAAGGATATGTACCTATGTTTTTAAGAGACCCTCCTGGTTCCCATGCGTATGCATAATCACTGTACTACAGTGGTATCAGTATATATATATATATATATATACATATATATATATATATATATATATATAATATATATATATATATATATATATACATACACACACACACACACACAATATATATATATATATATATATATATATATATATATATATATATATATATATATATATATATATATATATATAAGTATGTATGTATAAAATCAAAACTGAATGAATTTAGGAAGACATGGAGTATATGTGACATGTATAGACACTGCTTTAGGAAATCCCCAACTCCAAACTCTCATTATATTGGCCCTACTCCAGACAACAAACCCAGATAACAAAACAGGAAAACACCACACTGCTGATGAGCAAAAAAAGAAGCACTCTCCCTCAGCAGGCACTTGAGGGAGTGGGGTCTTGCTTGTTCTGAAGAAACAATGGATAGGTAGACTAACTCACCTTGCTGTGAGACAAGAAGATGAGGATGACCAGAGGATGGTCAGTGAGCAAAAAGACCCCAGGAGCCAAGATAATCAAATGGTCTAGTGATGTGTCTCTCACAGGTAAATTAGATAAAACAGGCAAAACAAGTAAACTTTTTTCACCATTCTTTAGACCCAGACTGTAAGAAAATAAATGGAATCTAATCAAACTAAAATCTTTTTACTATGACTGAGAGTCAGAGTATTAAATATATCAATTATTTTGTTTTTAAGAAAAGGAAAAATATGTGTGACTAACACCCTGCCATGACAAGAGTGTGTAGGGTATTGTTAAATAATAATGAATCACTATATAATAATATGTTATAAATAGATATGGCAAAAATGTAGTCATATACTACAAATCTAGAGAACTACTAAAAACTAAATGTTTCCAATAAGGAAATCAGGCTGATATTCCTCTACATCCATGTCAAACATGCTTTCTCACTTAAATCAAGACTAAAAACATTAGCTAATTATATATAAAATACCTTTTTTCCTTTGAGACTATTTTACTTAAGTAATGAATATATTTTCATATCAGTGCATATAATATAACAAATATATCAAAATTGGAAGCTATGGGAAGGATTTATACTCACATATGGTACATTTTCTCATTGGTCAGCCCATGAGCTTGCAAAAATAATCAGAGTTCTTTCATGATTCCACTTAACAGTGAGCCTATGCAAAACATATGAGAAGCAAAAATAAGAAATATGAAGCTAGGAACAATATTGGGATCCAATGTTTATTACTACTGTAAGACAATGAACTTCATGAATAAAGAGGCAATATGACAATAATGCAATGGAAGATAACAAGATATGAAAAAGTGCTGTTCAGTGAATTTAGCATGGTAATATTCGACATTAGCAATGACATCAAAAGCCTCTAGAGGTCTTTTTTTAAGCTGATTATAGATTCTAGAGAGCAATAGGAGATACTACTGCACTGTAGCACAATAATAAAGACTACAGAATGCTAGTTGAAGTAGTTTGTTGCCAGCTAGTTAGTTCACTAGTTGCCTACAAATTCACTAAATATATTAAGTCCATTCCATCTAAGGCAAAAGAATTACTTCCATTTCTTTTACGTAGAAGTATGTATTTACTCAAGTAGATATTATCATATAGTTTTTGTGACAGTGAGTAGTTCCCCACTATCAAATAAAACTAAAAGCAAAAGTTTAAAATGGATGAAAGAAGAGGAATCAAACAGTCATGCATCTTTAAAGGTGTCTTTCTGAATCAAGTCCGAGTTTTAAAACTGAAAATGCAGCAACCAGGTCAAAAACTATGTGTATATAAAGCTGCACAGAATTAGAGTCTACAAATGACAAAAGAAAAGTTCTGTTACAGCAGTCCAAAAGCCTGTTTAATGGCTCAACTAATGGAAGCAGTAAGAAGGGTTTATCTTTTTTTTTTTTTTTTTTTTTTTTTTTTTTTGATGCAAGAAAATGAAAGTAAAAAATCATAATAGTCATAGTTCCTGAGAATTTAAAATATACTGGATATGGAATACACTTTTAAACTTAATCCTAATACAAAAAGTACAGAGTTCATCAAAGAAGTACAATGAAGTCTCGGACAATCTTTTGGGACAATTACAATTACAATTACCCTATCAAACAGGAAGAATAAATTTGAAGTAACTCCATTTGTTTTGCTTATTTTGTCTTTAAAAGGTGTC